TTCTTAGTTAACAACATCTAGATCAAGCTTTTGAAACCTGATTACAACACGGCAGTAACCTGGCAATGTTTATAATTTGGCCTTTGCAGCTAACAGACTAGATTTTATAAAGCAATTAATGAACAAAAAATGCCTCTATTAAATGCAGCTCACCTTCCAGTTGCTGCTCTCTCACCTCGGGCAGTGAGGGGACAAACAGTGGAGCTACAGTGACAGGAGTTAAGAGATCTAGTGGCTTTTTCCTTTTGTGACAAGCAAGGCCTGAGGTTTAGAGACTTTTAGCTTAAATATAAGTGCATTGTCCTGTCCTTAGCACTGATGATAGCAGAACAGATTAGTATTGAAAGTGATGTATTTTTTGATTAAACAGACATGAACTTAAATTCCAGGAAAACATTTTTTTTTCCAAGAGGGTAGACCTGCAGCTGACTAGTGACAAGGAAGTCCAGTCCCTGGCAGTCCCTGCACAATAGGGTATTAACTCAAAATTCACAGAAAACTTACTCTGTATGCTAGCACAAATCATAGACTTACTATCAGTCTTAAACATGCTAAAGATCAGTAAGGAGAAATAAAAAAATTAAGTGATAGCGATCCACAAGAAGAAAGGAAGAAATTTCTTGCGGAATAAAACTCTGCTCCTAAGATCTTTTTTTGCAAGACACAGTGTCTGAGCTTTGTGGGGAAAAAAAAAAAGTGATTTCTTTATCTAATATCTAACATCTTTAATACTGTTTCTGTACACTTTCTGCATAGTTTCTCCCTCCATGGGTTTTTCCTCTTGCCAGGAACAAACACTTATTAGCAAGAGAGGACAAACTGAAAAATAGGAAAAACAGCAAGAGTCTTTAGGGCATTTGGGTGTCAGGCCGGGTGTCAACTTAGCAATTGTAATCCTTTTTGGGAGCTGGTATAATTTCATTCTCTGTTTTCCTTCCCTCCCCCTGCCTCAGAGAAGTATTCTGTACCAGGAGGGACTATGGGAAGGATTGGATCTGTTTGTTGGCTGGGTAGCTTAAGTGTGCACATCCAAGCCACCAAGAGTCTGGGAGTTATCTTTCCCTCCATTTAACCATTACTCGCATCCCTCTCACCCACCTTGGCATAGCAGCAGGTGATGAGCACCAGGGGCAGGAAGTATCCTACCAGCAGGATGGTAACCTTGTACATCTGCTTCGCTGTTGAACCATCTGCCCAGTGCTCCCAGCAGAAGGAGCTGTTGGGTGCTTGCTGATGACCACTCATGAGGGCCTGATGCTGAGCTACAGGGATGGCAATGAGTAGAGACAGCAGCCAAATTACACCCACGCCGAGGGCAGTGTTGTGCTTGCTGTGGTTGCAGGGTGAACGCTTGGCATGGACCACAGCAATGTATCTGTCCACAGACATAGCCACCAGAGTAAAGATGCTGACCAGCATTGTTGCCATGGCCAAGTAGTGAACACACTTGCAAAAGAAGGCACCGAAGATCCACTCTGGCAGGGAGTAGATGGTGGCCTGGAAGGGGACGCAGAAGAGCAGAAGTCTGCAATGCTCAAGTTCAGGATGAAGATGTTGGTAGCGCTGTGCGATGGGGATCCCCCAGGCCGGAGACGCCCTAAAACAACCAAGACCAATGTGTTTCCCACCATTCCCAGGAGGAAAATCAACCCAAAAAGCACTGGTACAATCACCACCTCTGGGCCACCCCTGGTTGCTCCTGACCAGCATGTTGTGGCCCGTGTTTGGTTAGTCTCAAGGCTGCACTTGCTGGTATTGGCTCCGAGGGAAAGCACAAAGTTGTTTTCCTGCTCCTCCATGGAGCCAGGCTGCTTGGAAGGCAGGGAGCAGTTGCTGTAGCCCTGACTGCTATTGAGCAGGTCTGTGTTTGTTAGTGGTGGCCAGAGGCTGAATGCTTGGGTTTTCCAATGCTCTGTGTCTTTCCTTTGGGGAGCAATTTTCTTCAGATGATTCTTCCAAGCTCTGTCTGTCTCTGGTGCGGATTCTTCCAGGAACTGGTAAAAAAGGGGATTGAGGAGTTTTCTTATCCAAGAGGTAACTGCAGGTTTGGCAGTTGCTGCTGGAGAAGCTTTCATGGTAGAGGAAAAGTCTGTACCAGAAGGGCTGAGGATGAAGCTGCCCTGGGAGCTTGGAGCAAAGGCAAAGCAGCTGCAGCTCAGCTTCCTCACGCCCCTCCTCTCCTGCTTCCCTCAGTCCCTGGCTCTGCGGCAGTCGTACCTGCTCTCCCAGCTCCGCTCAGAGCTGTGGCAATGAGAATAAACACTGTCTATGACCTGAGCCCTTCAGAAAATAACTCCTGATCAGCTCTGTCCCCATACATTACTACTCATGAGGAGGGGAAGAGCAGAGCAAAAGCAAGCAGCTGGGGCCTGCCACTTCTTGGATATCTGCCCAAATTCCTTAGTGCCTGAATATTCATAGATCTTGTTGATCCAGCTGTAAAGAAGTTCTGGGTTCAGCCCAGTAGTGCCAAGAGCATCTGCACTGGAAAAGGAAAGGTTCAGTCTTGGTAGCCATGAGCAGCTGTAATATTCGCTACCAGGAAACAGAGAGATGGATTTAAAAAAAAAAGTTTTATTAAGGATTAATGGCTTAGTTATTGTGGTTTTGATGCTTACTTATAGAAACAGTACATATGTTTTAGAAGGCATTAAGTAACTTGGTTTTAATGGTATGTTTCCTCATATTTCTTAAGGCATTCTGTGAACTCTACAGGCAGTAAGGAGGGAAAAAAGTTTAGGCAAACGTTAACAGAACCTGCACACAGTGATTTATGCATGCAGGACAGCTTCTTGCATAGGAGAGTACACATCTCGGTTTTCAGTGGTTACAAGTCTAGACACTTGGTCAGAGTGGCCCACTGCTGGCTTCTGTGGATGTGGGGGTTAGACTGGAGGGAGCCCCTTAATTTTTGAAACAAAATTCAGTAACTGAGAGAGGTGATAGTGCTGCCTTCCTTAGCCTGCTCTGAGATACTTGTTTGAAATCTGTTATGAAGCCAGACTCCTTATTTCCCCCTGTAGTTTTGAGGCTAGTTATGGGGTGACGTGGGAAGTGGCCAGGGAGCGAAAGATGTCTAAGTCGCAGTGGAAAATATATCTATCCTTCTTGCGTGCTGGTGAGCAGATCACCGTGGCTGGACCAGCTACCTGGATGCCACCTGCAGCTCTCTTAATCTTCTGCGGCTCGGCTGCCTCCCGTGCTGTGGCACAGCACCTCAGACATCATTAAGTCTTCCAGTCCCCCAAATATTCTGTCTGTCTGCTGGGATCCCTGCCCTCAGGTTGCAGACAGCTGCTTGCAATGCACCACTTTCAGGGACCTTGCAAGCTCTGGGGTTGTGCTGTAGATTTGAGTGCCATCTAGTGGCATGTCATCTCCTTCGCTGCTTTCAGACAGCTCCTGTGGCGGTGCTTGTCCTTTCTTTCCCTCAAACATGCAGTCCCACCGTTCAGTAATGAATTCTATCTGCTGTTGTTTTCCTCTCACCCTTGTGCACGTACACACCGTTAAATCATGAAACTTAAATATACTTGCTTTTCCTTTTGTGATAATATGTGACCGTTGTAATGTTACTTCTTGTAATACTACTCATGTAGCTTCATGTAACATTTTAGAGAATGTTCAATTCCTTGATTCAATTCCTTTCCAACCCTGCATAATCCCTTTCCTAAAGGAACTGAAACCTTCACCCCCTAGACACTAAGTTACTTGTCCACTAGGCCATAAGGCAAGCTGTACAGAGTAGTGTTGCTCACGTGGAAACTATGATGAAGTGTTGCAGAGAGTACAAACATCACAGGGCCAGAAGAATAATAATTGACTGTTCAAGCTAGGCACTTGGTGGAGGAAAGAAGGGGTTCTGAAGTGTGACTTCTCTGCTTCATTAATTTTAGGGTTAAAAAGCCAATATAATGAATAAGTAAATCCTTTCAACTTTTGTGAGCTGTAAAGTTTGAGTCTTTTGGGTGGAGGATTTGAATCTCACTCTGACCATGAAAATGTCAAACATTGTATGACATGCAAAGATAGAAACATCTTTTTATGAGGAGTCTGGAATTGTTAATGTGTTATGTCAGTATGGGAACTAAACTGGAACCTCAGGGGTGATAAAGAGCCATTCCCTCTCACTTGTGGATCTTGGAGGGCTAGACAGGAGTTTGGTAAATAGCTGCCCATTTGGCACGAGCCTCTGTGTGTGTGCACAAGGGAGAGCCTTCAAAGCACAGAAGGGGTTGGTTTAATCAAACAGCTGGCTGAAAGGGTACTCTGTTGCATATAGGTAACTAAAGTCACAATTACCAAAGACCAATCACTTGGTCTCTTTTGAAGAGTTTCAACTTGATCTGAACAGTTTATTAGGCTGTAAAACTCTTCCCAATGAAAGGGGTTTAGATTGAACATAACTGAGAAGAGAGTCCTTTCATTTTAATTGATGACAGCTTCTAGCACAGTTGCTCTGAGCCCTGTGGTGTTGCCATTGAGATGGTACAGTCAGGATTTAAAGCAGGTGGAGGTTTATTGATTGATTTTTAATCTATTAGATCAGTTTGTACTCTTTTTCTCTTTAATAAGACTTAATCATGGAACCGTTTGAGTGGTCTATTGGCTGGCTCTGTGGATCTGCTTTGTTTGTATTGCTTAAGTAAGCTGAGGTAAGAGTTCGTGGAGTATACAGCCATGAAACAATGGCAAAACAAAGCATATTCTTAAACATAAATATAGGCTAAATACTGAAATTGTGACAAACCAAGCAAAAGTGTTCTATGCTCTCCATCCCCAGCAAGGACAGGAAGATCGTAAGGGTGTATCTACACAAACTTGCATCAAAAGTGCACTTCTGAACTGAGACTGCTAGTTGTCCCTGCTTCTTGTGGCTTGTAGCACAGTCATTCTCCAAATCGGCTTCTGTTGGCCTGCACTACTTCCTAGCAAACACATAACCTAAAATATGATAAGCTAAACTCTGGAAATGTTCTGATCTGGCAGAACTTCATGTTATATTTCACTCTAAAATCTGCATGGAGTTGATCCGAAGTTAATATTCTTCCCTCAAATGATTAGACCGTTAACCTGTTTCCACAGGTTAAATAATTTTAGATAAAATGCTAACTGATTTTTGACTGTTAAAGAAATGGCTGACTTAGTAGAAGGTACTTTGAACTAAGAAAAGTGCTTTTGGTTCCCAGACCTTCAGTGCTATATCTGTTCTGCTCTCAGCAGTATGCTCCTTTCCGGGAGTGTCAGCTCTTGCAAATTCCAGCTTTCTCTCATCCATTTTAATGAGCTGAAGTATACCATCAGTTTACCTTCACATAGATTTATGGAACAGTCTCAGTTTTTCAGAGAAACTATTTTGTTTTGCTCAGTACCTGAGTATTGCTGAATTGTTTTCTGTTCTATATGTTGCAACATCTTCAGATTATTCACTAGAAATGACCTGTGGGTAGTTTATCTATTTTGCAGGTGTCTTAGCACATAAATTATGCTAAGGACTCAGTCTTCATTCCCTGAGGGAATGCCATTAGAATAGGAATTATTTCTAAAAATCTCTTAGGAGGCTTTACAGGAGATTCAGGCCACAGGACTGAATATGTAGTCTGCATGCTGACTGCCCGACTTGTTTATATGCAATCATTGAGTGCAAGTAGTATATTTCAGAAGAAAAAACTCATTTCCTGAATAATGTAGGCTGTGCAAAAATAGTTACCTGTAGTGGTGAGGAAACAAATCCAATGTTACAGAACATTCTTGGATGTATGAGAAAAAAATAAGGTAGTTATTCAGAAACTTATGGAACAGATAGAATTAAAAAAAACCCAACTTCTGAAGAATTACTACTTCTGTGTGTACATAATTTGGCTTCACCTAAACCATAGACATATGTGGCTCATGTTCAAACATTTGTAAGAGTGTGTCTGTAGAAAGCTTCAAAACAAATCAGAGATTTGCCTTTCTCATCCTTGAAGAGCTATTTTATAATGACTTGTAAAGTCAGTCTCCAAGGTAGAAAATGACGTTGGTAATAAACAGATCACATTCAACCTGATGCAGATCAAGGGAGCAGAAACATTTTGTCCAATCTTCCTCTGAGCGGTCTACCATATAGTTACTAAAACAACTGATAATAATCTCTTTGCCAAGCTCTTTTATCTCTTGAGCTGTTGTTTCATGTTGTGTGCTAAGATAAAGACTTTCTTTCTCAATGCCAGAACCTACCGTCTGCTAAAGAAGGAAACTTAAATATACATTCTGGTAAAAGGCTTAAGGCTGTCAATAACTCTCACACACTTCACATGCTCTGCTAAAATAGCTTATCTGCTATTTTTTAAAAAAATCTCTATTTTCTGTATAGTGGGCAGGGACTATTTTTTGAAAAAACAGAATGCTTTTTGCTCCCTGTCTTCTGTGACTTGAATGTTCAGTGTTCAAAATGCCTTTTTACAGTTTAACTTCATGCCGTGTTCAGCTTATTCTAATTTAACTTCTTCACTAGAAATAGAAAGTAAGTCATGTGAAACTTGTACTGATTTATAGTATAGGTTTTAGATTCAGTATGCAGTATATGCTTAGGTCAGGGAAGGTTGTAATATGCTTAACTAAAAACACTCTCCCATGTTTGTTATATACAAACAATCATGTAATTCAAAACTATTGGTGAATAATGTAAATAACCTGCATCCTTTTCTCTACATTGCAGGAGCTCTAGGTAATATAAAGGGTAACTTGTCAAAATCCGTTTTAACTTAACCTGTGTTTGAAATCTTTTAACTCCTACAGTGTATGACACAGTAATCCAAGATCTGATTCT